TGAAGCAGGAGAGGCCTTGGAGGCATTCCACTGAAGTAGTTTTCCGATCAAAGAACATGGCTTTGTATTAGAGCATAAGTCCAAATCAGTTAGTAGCATAAGGACTGCTAGAATCCATAATTGCCATGTTTATTTCCATGATTAAACAGGCCGTAATCGAATGGCAACGTCAGCTCTAATAGACACCATAATTGCCATGCCCATTTCCTTAATTGGACACTGTGGAAGGGAGAAAAAATAATTATTATATTGGGTATTTGTTTTTTGTTTAATTTAGTTAATAATTAGTATTGTTTGGCCATATATGTTATTATCAAAATAGGCATGTGAATTCAGGAATATGTTGTCACCTTTTGAAAGAGATTTTAATAGAAGTTATTTGAATGCGATAAAGTTATTTCAATTCTGTAATTTGAGTAAAGGGGAACTTGGAAATCAGAGGTAAATTAGGCAACTTGGAGGGTAGTTATTTTAGATTGTTTAATGGAAGTCAGAGTGACTCCTGAAGGTGAACAAAATAAGGTATGAGAGCAGGTTTAATTAAATTGTTGCTTTATAAGGGTAGTTGGACTGAGAGCGCACAGAAGAGAAAGTTAGGCGTTTTTGCTTTATTAATATTAATGTTCTTTTATTTAATTAATAATTTTTAATAAATAATATTTTAATAAATCAGATTACGCAATAGTAATAGTGAATTAGGTAATATTGATAATTAAGGTGTATTTAGATTTATATTAAGGTAGGAATAGAGGGAGTCAAGTGACTCCCGATGGAAATGTACAAAAAAAATCTTTAGATTATGTCTAAGTGAATCTAGGCTAAATGGCCGTGCTTAAGTTAGTTAATTAGTACATTAGTTAATTGTTATTGTGTTGTATAATTGAATAGGAGGAATTTTGGAGGCATCCTTCTGCAGTAGTTTTCCGATCCATGGAAATGGCTTTGTATTAGAGCATGAATCCAAAGGCAGTTAGCAGCAGTTTGTCTGCTAGAAGCAATAAGTGCTATGTCCATTGCCATGATTGAACAGGCTAGAATTGAATGGCAACGTCAGCTCTAATAGACACCAAAATTGCCATGTTTATTTCGTAAGTTGGACACACGAGGGGTAAGTAGTAGCATCAGGCCTGACAGAGACAAAACAGGGCATACTTTATTCCATTGATGAACTCTGTTGGGAGAGAAAGGAAAGAAGAGCAATTAGTGTGGGTATTAATGATTTGTTTATGTTGTTAGTTTGCCCATAGAAATGGCGCATCTAAGGCGTTTGTATCAGCTTATTATGCAATTGGAGCTTGCTTTGGGACATTGGACCGAGAAAAAGGTCTCTGGAAATTGTAAATTAATTGATATTTGGTTAACTACTGTTAGTTGTAGGGGACTGGAGATTTAACACCGCAGTCCTCTTAATAGCAGTAGGGGAAAAATAGGTGTGTTTTATATTTTAATTTTTGTTTTAAGCGGCAGAATCGCTTTGAGAATAACTAGGTAAGAGGATTTGTGCTTGGTTAGGATGCCTCAGATTTGGTTTAGCCGCTGGCTAGTTATCATCATAGGCATACTTGTTTTGACCCTATTTTGTGGCTTTCTTTTTGAGTAATCCCATATTGGGAGATGTTTTTGGAGGAAGGGAGGTTGATCTGCTGTGATTTAAGCTATTGAAATAAATTATTAGAAGATTAGGTAGGGAATTTAATTTTGCTTTAATTTAGCTTGTGTAACTGGGGGCAACAAAGCCTAAGTTGCACTATTTAGTTGTTAGTAATTGATCTTTTGGGGCTGTATCCTGTTTTTGTGGTAAGACCCAGTGTATCATGCTCGTCCAGGCTTAGTTCAGTTGCATGCATGGTACGTCCTTTTTATTTGCTCAATGCTGCAATATATGAAGAGAAATGATTATCTTGGCCATGTATTTGGTTTGCGAATGTGTAAGTCAGTTGGATACCATCTACGCACTCTACGAAGGATAGTGTTGTTAGCCGGAGCCAGTTTTACTGCCAGGGGGTTAGTGTGTTTAAGGAGACGATCATTGTGTCTACTATCATGCAGGTTAATGATTTCCCATAGGAATGGGATGCCTAGGTTTCTATGTAGGTCATTGGTTCGAATAAAAAGGGGAGAAGATACTATTGTTCTCAGACATTTGTTTTGAATAATTTGTATCCTATTTATTTGCAGATCTGTGGCTGTACCCCATACCACCATGCCATATTGCCAAATGGGTGCTATTATTTGCGTGTATATTATTTTTTTATTATTTAGGGAAAGTTTATTGCTGGTTAGAAGCCATTTATATTTGTCCAGTTTCTTTTTAATTATGGAACATGTAACCGAGATATGCTTAGAAAAGGTGAGTTTTCTGTCTAAATGAAGGCCTAAATACTTGACTATTGGATTTTGAGGAATCTGCACACCGCTGAAGGTTACAGTGGGACAGGTGCCCTCTTTGAGGGTGAAGGTCTTTTTTTTTTTTTTTTATTAATAGTTTAGTCTATATTTTGGCGCACTGGCCATAAAATTTGATTTACAATAACTTATGTTAAATACAAAAATTGGCCTTAAAGTTAGTGCATTTAGTGAGGAGGCAGCAGCGTAAATTAAACGATTTAATCCTTCCGTGGATGATTGAGTGGAGGGAAAGCGGAAAAAAGCGGAAGCATTGTGATGTAGGTGCCCCATCCCTCAAAGGAGCACCAAAGTAGTATAAAATACATAACTTATGTAATTACAAAAGACTTAATATTAGGGTCACAAAGTTTGCATAAATGAGAGAGAGTGTATAAATATGAACATTATGAGCGATTTTTGCATTTGTATAAAGAACAGTTTAACTATATGCGATTAAGAATTTACAAAATGTTAAATTAAGAGTTTATGTAAGAGTGAATTTAAATAAGAACTGTGTAAAAGCTTAAATTTTTACTTAAATTTTAGGATCGACGAGTAAGCAGAACCAGGATTAGAAGCGGAAACAGAAGCTCCAACGGTTGTAGTAGCCGATTATCGGGTGCCCGGCTCAACCAAGGACAGAGCCGCCTTGTGTGGGCCGAGGAATCCGAGCCGTGAGGCGTTAATTTGTATAGCGCCATGCGGATTAAATTCCGGATGCGATGGGAGAACGTGTAAGTTGCCGAAGCTAGAGTAATGGCCATAGCTGACCCAGGTGAGTTTAATTGCATGATGATGAGTAGGCAGAAAGGATGGTTGCATGGATTCCTTTTGCTCCGCTATGAATACTCCAAGTGTGGTGTCAGGTCCAGAGAGCAGGGCTCCATCAACGGGACCACGTCAGGTGGCGCAAGAATTTCCCAAGCGTGATGAAGGCAAGGAGGGTTGAGATTTTAATTTATTATTAAATTGTATGAGATGCGAAAAGTTATATTTATTTGAATTAGCATAATATTGTTTGATAAAATGGAGTTTGATGAATATATGTATTTGTTAGAGTAATGAAATATTTATGTAATGTGAAGTGTAATTTATGAAGTTATTTTATTTGAGTATTAATTTATGAGTTATTTTATTGTGATGTGACGTGGATATGTAATGAGGCTATTATAATTAAGTATTAATTTGTGAATTTATGAGTTATTTTATTATGATGTGACGTGGGTATGTTGAAAACTGCGTTATGTAGTTTTATGATAATGTTTTATTTAATTTTTTCAGCTCCATATAATGTTGGTTCCAGACACTGAGGAGATGCAGCAAAAGCAGAGCCAGAAAGTTGCCGAGATGAACCTCGAAGAGGAGACGGGAAAACCAGAACTCCAGGCAGAGGCTCCAGTTGAACGATGTTTGGCTTGTAGGTGAGGCGGAGATTTGCCGAAAGTTTTTATATATTTATTTATTAAAGTAAATTTGAATATTTGTTATTATTCTAATTTAGTGAATTAATTGATTTGTATTGTTAGTTTGAATGGAATGCGAAAAGTTATTATTATTTGAATTGGCGTAAATATTGTTTGATAAAATGGAATTTAAAGAATATGTATATTTGTTAAATGTTTATGAAGTGTAAATGTAGTTTAGTAATGTAATTTGATGAAGCTGCAGTTTAAGAATGATAATTTATGATTTTACGAATTATTTATTTTGATGTGACATGAATATGTTTAGACTGTTGATGTGTGTGTAAATTAAAAGTTTGTATATAGTAATTAGTAAAATACCAAATTGGTACTTGTAAAGTTTTATATTAATACTTTATTTATTTATTTATGTTTCAGTGCCATATAACGTTGACACTGAAGAAGGGCAACAGGTTTGGCGAAGTTTTGCTTCAGAGAGATGGATGCAGGTTCCAGGTGCCAATGGGAGAGGCGTCGGCTGCAGTCACGACCTATGGCAGAAAAGATGGCAGCATGGATTTCTTTGCTCCGCTATGGATACTCCATGTGTGGTGTCGGGTCCAGAGAGCAAGGCTCCATCAACAGGACCGCATCAGGTGGCCCAAGAGTTTCCCAAGCGTGACGAAGGCAAGTAGGGTTAAGATTTTAATTTATTAGTTGATTTATATTGTTAATTGTATGGAGTGCGAGAAGTTATTATTATTTGAATTAGCGTAATATTGTATGATAAATTGGAATTTGATGAATATGTGTATTTATTAGAGTAGTTAAATGTTTATATAGTGTAAAATGTAATTTAATGAAGCTATTATTTCTGAGTATTAATTTGTGAATTTATGAATTATTTTATTGTGATATGACGTGTGTATGTAATAAGGCTATTATATTTAGATATTAATTTGTGAATTTATGAATTATTTTATTGTGATTTTATTGTGATGTGACGTGAGTATGTTAAAGGACTTCTTATGTAGTTTGTTTACCATTTATATGTAGTTTTATGATAATATTTTATTTAATTTTTCCAGATCCATATAATGATGGGTCCGGACACTGAGGAGATGTAGCATACAAAACGTGAGCAAAGCCAGAAAGTTGCCGAGATGGACCTCGAAGAAGAGACGAGAAGACCGGTACTCCGGGCAGAGGCTCCAGATGAGACGATGTTTGGGTTGTGGACGAGACGGAGATTTGGCAAGGAGAAGATGGCGGCATATTTTCTTTGCTCCGTTATGGATACTCCAGGTGTGGTGTCGGGTCCAGAGAGCAAGGCTCCATCAACAGGACCGCATCAGGTGGCCCAAGAATTTCCCAAGCGTGATGAAAGCAAGGAGGGTTAAGATTTTAATTTATTAGTTGATTTGTATTGTTAATTTGTATGGAATGCGAGAAGTTATTATTTTTTGAATTAGCGTAATATTGTATGATAAATTGGAATTTGATAAATATGTGTATTTATTAGAGTAGTTAAATGTTTATATAGTGTAAAATGTAATTTAATGAAGCTATTATTTCTGAATATTAATTTGTGAATTTATGAGTTATTTTATTATGATGTGACGTGGGTATGAATGAAGCTATTATATTTAAATATTAATTTGTGAATTTATGAGTTATTTTATTGTGATTTTATTGTGATGTGACGTGGGTATGTAATGAAGCTATTATATTTAAGTATTAATTTGTGAATTTATGAGTTATTTTATTGTGATGTGACGTGGGTATGTTAAAAGACTGCTTATGTGGTTTGTTTACCATTTATATGAAGTTTTATGTTAATATCTTATTTAATTTTTCCAGCTCCATATAATGATGGTTCCGGACACTGAGGATATGCAGCATACAAAGCATGAGCAAAGCCAGAAAGTTGCCGAGATGGACCTCGAAGAAGAGACGAGAAGACCAGTACTCCGGGCAGAGGCTCCAGATGAGACGATGTTTGGGTTGTGGACGAGACGGAGATTTGGCAAGGAGAAGATGGCGGCATATTTTCTTTGCTCCGTTATGGATACTCCAGGTGTGGTGTCGGGTGCAGAGAGCAAGGCTCCATCAACAGGACCGCATCAGGTGGCCCAAGAATTTCCCAAGCGTGATGAAAGCAAGGAGGGTTAAGATTTTAATTTATTAGTTGATTTGTATTGTTAATTTGTATGGAATGCGAAAAGTTATTATTGTTTGAATTAGCGTAATGTTGTATGATGAATTGGAATTTGATGAATATATGTATTTATTAGAGTAGTTAAATGTTTATGTAGTTTATGTAGATGTAATTTAATGAAGCTATTATATTTGAGTATTAATTTATGAATTTATGATATATTTTATTGTGATGTGACGTGGATATGTAATGAAGCTATTAATTTGTGAATTTATGAGTTATTTTATTGTGATTTTATTGTGATGTGACGTGGATATGTTAAAGGAATGCTTATGTAGTTTGTTTACAGTTTATATGAAGCTTTATGATTATATTTTATTTAATTTTTCCAGCTCTATATAGTGATGGTTCCGGACACTGAGGAGATGCAGCATATAAAGCATAAGCAAGGCCGGAAAGTTGCCGAGATGGACCTCGAAGAAGAGACGAGAAGACCAGTACTCCGGGCAGAGGCTCCAGATGAGACGATGTTTGGGTTGTGGACGAGACGGAGATTTGGCAAGGAGAAGATGGCGGCATATTTTCTTTGCTCCGTTATGGATACTCCAGGTGTGGTGTCGGGTCCAGAGAGCAAGGCTCCATCAACAGGACCGCATCAGGTGGCCCAAGAATTTCCCAAGCATGATGAAAGCAAGGAGGGTTAAGATTTTAATTTATTAGTTGATTTGTATTGTTAATTTGTATGGAATGCGAAAAGTTATTATTGTTTGAATTAGCGTAATGTTGTATGATGAATTGGAATTTGATGAATATATGTATTTATTAGAGTAGTTAAATGTTTATGTAGTTTATGTAGATGTAATTTAATGAAGCTATTATATTTGAGTATTAATTTATGAATTTATGATATATTTTATTGTGATGTGACGTGGATATGTAATGAAGCTATTAATTTGTGAATTTATGAGTTATTTTATTGTGATTTTATTGTGATGTGACGTGGATATGTTAAAGGAATGCTTATGTAGTTTGTTTACAGTTTATATGAAGCTTTATGATTATATTTTATTTAATTTTTCCAGCTCCATATAATGATGGTTCCGGACACTGAGGAGATGCAGCATGAGCAAAGCCAGAAAGTTGCCGAGATGGACCTCGAAGAAGAGACGGGGAAACCAGAACTCCAGGCAGAGGCTCCGAGTGAGACGATGTTTGGCTTGTAGGCGAGGCGGAGATTTGACGAGAGTTTTTTTTATATATATATTTATTTAATTATTTGTTATTATTTGAATTAGTGAGTTATTGATTGTATTGTTAATTTGAGTGGAATGCGAAAAGTTATTATTATTTGAATTAGCGTAAATATTGTATGATAAATTGGGATTTGATAAATATATGTATTTATTAGAGTAGTTAAATTTTTATATAGTGTAAAATGTAATTTAATGAAGCTATTATTTCTGAGTATTAATTTGTGAATTTATGAATTATTTTATTGTGATGTGACGTAGGTATGTAATGAAGCTATTATATATTAAATATTAATTTGATAATTTATGAGTTATTGTGATTATATTGTGAAGTGACGTGGGTATGTAATGAAGCTATTTTATTTAAGTATTAATTTGTGAATTTATGAGTTGTTTTATTGTGATGTGACGTGGGTATGTTAAAGGACTGCTTTTGTAGTTTGTTTACCATTTATATGAAGTTTTATGATATATTTTTTTTAATTTTTCCAGCTCTATATAGTGATGGTTCCGGACACTGAGGAGATGCAGCATATAAAGCATAAGCAAGGCCGGAAAGTTGCCGAGATGGACCTCGAAGAAGAGACGAGAAAACCAGAACTCCGGGCAGAGGCTCCAGATGAGACGATGTTTGGGTTGTAGACGAGGCGGAGATTTGACAAGAAAAGATGGCAGCATATTTTCTTTGCTCCGTTATGGATACTCCAGGTGTGGTGTCGGGTGCAGAGAGCAAGGCTCCATCAACAGGACCGCATCAGGTGGCCATTTATAAGAAGTTTTATGATATATTTTTTTAATTTTTCCAGCTCTATATAGTGATGGTTCCGGACACTGAGGAGATGCAGCATATAAAGCATAAGCAAGGCCGGAAAGTTGCCGAGATGGACCTCGAAGAAGAGACGAGAAAACCAGAACTCCGGGCAGAGGCTCCAGATGAGACGATGTTTGGGTTGTAGACGAGGCGGAGATTTGACAAGAAAAGATGGCAGCATATTTTCTTTGCTCCGTTATGGATACTCCAGGTGTGGTGTCGGGTGCAGAGAGCAAGGCTCCATCAACAGGACCGCATCAGGTGGCCCAAGAATTTCCCAAGCGTGATGAAAGCAAGGAGGGTTAAGATTTTAATTATTAGTTGATTTGTACTGTTAATTTGTATGGAATGCGAAAAGTTATTATTGTTTGAATTAGTGTAATGTTGTATGAAATTTGATGAATATGTGTATTTGTTGAAGTAGTTAAATTATGGAATGTGGATGTAGTTTAATAATATGTTTTGATGAGGCTGCTGTATTAGAATGATAATTTGTGAGTTTATTAATTATTTATTTTGATGTGACGTGAATATGTTTGAACTGTTGATATGTGTGTAAATTAAAAAATTGTGTAATGTAATTTATGAAATAACAAATTGTTACTTATAAAGTTTGATATAGATAATTTATTTATTTATGTTTCAGCGCCATACAACGTTGGCTTCAGACACTGAAGAAGGAACAGCATAGAGGACGTGAGCAGGGCAATAAAGTTTCCAAGATGAACCTCGAAGTAGAGACGAGCAAACCAGAGCTCCAGGTAGAAGCTCCAGATAAGACGATGTTTGGCTTGTAGGCATGGCGGAGATTTTGAAGAGCTTAAGTATTTGTTATTGTTTGAATTAAGTGTATTTTAAGGTAGTTGTTATATACTGTAACTTAATAATTTATTTGTTGTAGGTTATAGTTAGTTATAGGCATGATTATTTAAATTTGTACCGATTTTATGTATTTATATTTCGTTTGTTACTAGTTGTATAGTATATGGATGCACATTCCAAATGCCAAGAGAAAAAGCGTTGGCTGCAGGTTACGAATCTCCGGCAAAATAGCTGACAGCATGATTTTCTTTGTTCCTCCGCTGTGGATATCCAGAATGTGGTGACCAAATCTTATCCCACTTCAAACGCTCTAACGGAGATTTGTATTAATGCTGCATTTGTTTATTGTTTCAGCACGGCTGAATGTAAATTCCGGATACCAAGAAGTGAGGGAATATTGGGTGAGAGTACTTGAGTTGCAACCAGAAAATTTTCGAAATCAATTTCGATGCTTCATGCGATTCGCAGAATGGACAAGTAACCGGTTTCGTGGATCAATGCTCCGCCACAAAAGCAGCATCGAATGGCCCAGAATTTTCCAGGCATGATGTGGATAAGAAGAATTGCAGATTCTGGGTAAAATTTATTGTTTAATACTTTTACGTAGCGTTTGAGTAGTTAATTTTATTCAATGTGGAATTTGTGTAATTTTGTTATTGAGATAAGTATAATTATATTTGTTTACTTTAAAACGGCCTTAATAGGTACCGTCGTTCGCCTTTAGAGAAAAAATAGAATTATAGAAGAGGTAGAGAAGAAAATAAGTAGAAAGCCCGAAATGGTTTAACAGAAAGGAAAAAGAAAAAGTTAACTTCTGTATGGAACCGACCAAAGCGCGCTCCAAAAATCGCTGTATAGATACAGCAAAAGGAGCACAGGTCAGCCAGACCCATACACATCCGGGCAGGACGCGGAGGGACCCAGCATCCAACTGTATTTATAGGAGTGAAAAACTTCTATACACGGATCTAGGCCCCTTCCACGGGGAAAAACCACCCCCCTCCTCCCAAAACCCATCCGCGAAAAATTTTCGCAAAGTGGGTTCGGGTCAAGCCCGCCGTGCCCGCATGACGTGCACAGTCGTCACACAGGCCAAGCAGCAATAGGAAAGGCGGTAGTTCAAAAGTTGAGAAAAGTAGCACAAAACGATAGTCGATGCAGGGAAAACCCAGTAGAAAAGATTAGAGAGCATTAGGAGGAGGGGCTCTATCCGGCAAGTCGTTTGGCCGATATCGAACGTGTGGGCCACCCCTTGAAAATTGCCTTAGAAGGTCACGAACAAGAATGTTCTGGTGATTAGTGGTTTTTGCGTTGTATCTGCTCGAGTGAAGATTTATTTCGTCCCACACAGACGAGAAATTGAAGGCTTGATGAATATCAAAGTTTCGGACAAAGGGAATTGAGCCAGTACAGAGGCGCAAGGTTTTATTTTGGATAATCTGGATGGCTCGGATATGGACATCTGCCGCACATCCCCACAATTCTATGCCGTATTTCCAGGTTGGCGCTATGATTTGTTTATAAATCAAAAGTTTATTTTTAGTACTTAACCGGGACTGGGGATTTATGAGCCAGTTATATTTTTGAAGTTTGCCCAAAAGAGACTTTTTGATTACGTTAGCGTGCTTGTTCCAAAGCAATTTGCCATCCAGATTTAGGCCCAAATATTTGACGGTGGATTTCTTAGGAATGACGACATTGTCAAAAGTGACATCTGGCATTCTACCAGTACGCCACGTAAATGACATGTGGGAGGATTTTCTGCTGTTGATTTTAATGTTCCAGGACATAGCCCAGTTCGAGAAGGTGCATAGGTAATTATTCATATTGTAAGTAGCTGTGTGCGGAGAAGGATCACTAAATAAAATAGCAGTGTCATCTGCATAGGTTGCAATAAGGCAATTGCTTCGCGAAAATTTGTGTACAATGGGTAGTGGCATATCACTGACATATATATTGTAGAGAGTGGGGCCAAGTATGCTACCCTGTGGAACTCCAGCAAGAGCAGGACGTATTGATGAGACGCAGCCCCTTTCTTTTACGCAGAACGTGCGATTTGAAAGGTATGATTGGAAGAGTTCAAATAATGGATACGGCAAAAATTTTTTCAATTTATATAATAGACCAACAT